ACGGTTGCAGGACGGTAAACACGACAGAGCAATAAGCTAATAAACAAGTGGTCATGACTAAGCAGTGTGTTGTTCAGAGTCACCACACCCAGGCTGCAGATTGAAGAAACATGGCTGTGCATAAGTGCATGTGAACTGTATGTGAATGCGTGTGTGTGTGTGTGTGTGTGTGTGTGTATACAGTCCTGGATTAAGCAGAAAAGCTGCTACTGTGTGAGTGCACAGGAAGGGTGTGAGGGGAAGTCAAAACATCACGCGCCCATCCTGTTTGGGACAGTCCATGTCCTGTGGTGGTGGTGCCCTTAACTCCTAAACACACGCAGATAGACGCTGGTGCACGTTCCCACTCGGACTGATCTTCCCATATGTGCTCACAGTACGCACAGTACGCACAGTACGCAGGAGTACTGTGAACACGTGCAGGAGGCGGTGGAGCAGGTGTGCACCTGTTACACAGTGACGCACACGTGTATGTAACTGAGGTGTAAATGAAGATCAGGAGGAGGATGGAACTTATACTTAACATTTAAACACATTGAATATGTTGCTATAATTAGTTTGCAATTGATTCAGTGTTATTAGCATTAGTGATAAAAAAAAAACTATTCTGTGCAAATTGCTTTTAATCCTTTTTTACAGAAATCGGATACCTGCTGTTAATCGCTCAGTACTCCTACGTTAACACTCAGTGGTGGAGGAAGTACTTAAACATTTTATCTATGTGAGAAAGAACGACAAAAATGTACTCAAGTCAGTAGTAAAAGTACTTGCAGAGTGTTTCCTTTTCCTGAAAGCAACAGTCTACTACATGAGTCCAAAGTATTTTCAAGAGTGAAAGTGAAAAAGAACAAAGTGAATGTATTTAGTTTCACTCCATCACTGTTTGTTGACGCTGATCATTCTTATTTCAGTTTTAAGTTAAATCAGAACTTGTCTAGTTTTTTTTAAATATTTGAATTCCACTGGAATAATTGTTTGATTTTTAATTGCAAATATCTCAAATTCTAGTCTCTCATGAGTCATCAGTTGTTTTGTCTGTTTGTTTTTGTTCCCAGAAAATTAAAGGAGGAGGCTGCCACAGAAGAGAGTCCCCCATCAGCCGAGACAATAAAGAATGGCATAGTATCACACACGCTGCTGGTAAATCTTCACTGTTCGCATCGACACTCGCATTTTTACGAAGATAATTATACACAAGATGCAGATTTAAACTTCTCTAAAGACGTCTGTCCCATTCACTGTCTGTCTCCTTCTCTCTGTTCTGCTGCGATAGAGGATGGATTCCCCGCCGGAGTGTGTGTTGTCTCTTTCTTGTGAGCAGCCCCAGTCTCCCCCGACGCTGCCGTCCCTGGACCACAGCCCGCAGGCGTTGTCCCCTCACACCCAGCTCTCTCTACCCAACAGCCCCGTCGTCCTGCCCATCCACAGCCCCGAACCCTCTCCCCAGAGCCCGGACACCACGCCTTATTTCCCCCTCTCTCCCTTCCCCCTCCACGAGGATAACAACCACCACGACGTCGACGAAGAGGATGACGAGGAAGGGCTGGATGGAGTTCCTCCGTCACCAACCCCAGCGGTGGCTCTGTTCCCTGGAGGAGGGGGACAAGAAGCTGGGTGCAGCCCCTGTTTGGATACCTCCCCCCCGGCGACGCCATCAGCACCACTCCTTGGGTTCGAAACCCTGGAGCTCGCCCTCTCCTCTGGGCCGAGTGGGACCTGCAATGAAGAGCTAGACCTCCAGCTGTTCCAGAAAGACACTGTTACCAGGGCGATACCTGGAGTGGGAGGGGCCTCATCAGGGCCTGCACTCAAGTTTCCCTGTCACGTATGTGGGAAGAGATTCCGATTCCAAAGTATTTTGTCTCTTCACGCCCGAGCCCACAGTCTGGACCGAGACCGCCGAGCTTCAGCCCTCTACCGGAGCGGTCTCCCCTCAGCGCCCCTGAAGCAGCAACTCAAGGTCCAACAGAATCACAAAGACTTAATCCAGAATCACAGAAGTCACACAAACCAGCGCTTACTGCCAGGGACGCTCATCCAGCACCTGATCGAGGAAGAGCATGTTGATGGTGAGGTTAAGGGTCTCGATGAAGGCCTTCAGACAGACCACAACCCAAACTTTTTACTGGATGATAGCACACCGTTGACCCCTCCACTTACAGAGGACCCTGTCTCTGTGATCTCTCCCTACTATTCCACCACTGGGGAGGGGGCATCTACTCCCACAGCGCCTACGTATCGCTGCCATGCCTGCAAAGGAAAATTCCGCACAGCTTCAGAGTTGGCACGCCACGTCCGCATTCTCCATAACCCATATAAATGCACCCTTTGTCCCTTCTCTGCCAGCCAAGAAGAGAGCCTGGCATCTCACTTGCAGGAGTGCCACCCTTCTCCAGAGGTTCCTTCTCTGCCACCAGCCTTCAACTCCAGGCCGATTATTGCAACCCCTGACACTCCTGTGCCCACCCCGACCCATACCCCAGCCCCAACCCCGAACACGCCACAGGTGACGTCAGCTGCTGCAGCGGCTGCATCCTCACTGCCAGCGTTTCGCTGTGAAACTTGCGGACAGCGGTTTACCCAGTCATGGTTCCTTAAGGGACATATGCGAAAGCACAAAGACTCCCTGGACCATAAGTGCCAGGTATGTGGACGTGGCTTCAAAGAGCCTTGGTTCCTCAAAAACCACATGAAAGTTCATCTTAACAAGCTTGGACTGAAAGCTGGGCTGGGAACTCTTGGGGGACCGGGAGGTGCTAATCAGCAGGCCAAAGGCTCCGCAAGTAATCACTCTCTCAATGCCCTCTACTCCAGCCTCCTTCTGGCCCAGCGAGGAGGTGGCAGAGGTGGAAGGTCAGACAGGAACGCCGGAGGCAGACTAGGGATGGGATCAAGCAAGTCAGCCATCCTAGGATACCTGGGGCTGCCCAGTGATGGCAGTGGGGCCAGCTGCATGGAAAGACTTCAAGCAGTGGCTCAGGTGGCAGAGATGGGAAATGGTGGTGGTGGTGGGATTGGCGGCCCAGTAGGTGGGGACATGGGAAGAGGAGGGGGAGCTGCTAGAGCCATGGGTGACGCTACAGCATCGGTATCTGAAGGAGAACAGGCAACTTGGTGGCAGCTGGTAGCTCGCAGCCTTGCAGTCGCTCAGCAGCAGCAGCAGCATCAACAGCAGCAGCAGCAGCAGCAGCAGCAGAGGCCCCACCAGTCAGGCCAACAGCAAGGCCAGCGAGGACCGGGTCGAAGCTCTGTGATCACAGAGGCTGACCAAGTAAGAGCCTACCTTGGAGGCCTAGATCCAAGAGAAGACTCAGGAGCAGGAGGGCCATGGGAGTGCCCGGACTGCGGGAAGCTATTCCGCAGTCTGCAGCAGGTGGTGGTGCACGCTCGCGTTCACACTCAGAGGCCCCAGAAAGGAGGTGGAGGCGAGGTGGAGGGAAGTGGCAGTCGTCGTGGAGCGGCACTGGGAAGAGGAGGCAGCAGCGAAGTGAGACAGGAGTCGCAGCTTCACGGTGGCGGATCCCAACAAGCGGGAGAAGTGAGACACGAATCAAAACTGCACAGCGGTGGATCACAACAAGCGGGAGCAGCTACGGGGTTTCACTCTGTCATCTCGAGCTTCAAAGGTACAATCGCATCCGCCTTTTTCTATTTGGTCTTCTGGGTTGTGTTTGTTTGCTCACATGTGAAGGTGCTATTATCACAAGAGTATGTTATTTTATTATTGCTCTTCTGTTGTAAATAGAAGCTCTCGTGGGGGCCCTTTAACGCCACCTATTATCTGCACATTTTTCTCTCTACTTGCAGAAGAAAATGGCTTGACAGCAGTCTCCTCCATACCTTCAGTTCCCATCAGGGAGCGAGTGCGTGGTAGAGGAATAAAAGACTGCCCCTACTGTGGGAAAGCCTTCCGCTCCTCACACCACCTTAAAGTGCACCTGAGAGTTCACACAGGTGAGAAACTCTTGTGAGTTTAACAAGCCACATTTACTTTTTTAACCTTTATAAATCCCTGGAAAGGTTTTGTTGAGCACAGCTATCTTTTTACTTTTTTATTTATTTTTTACACATCACCTCAGAGAGCTGGCCGGCGCCAATCACAGCCTCTACTGCAGGCAGCTCCACCAAAGCGACTCCTGCTTAAGTGCCCGGGTTGAGGGTATATTAACATTAAGCCACGTTTGCGAATAAAACTGGTAAAATCTCAAAAACCTTTCCTCCAGTAAACATCCTTTTTTCCTTCACGTGATTTGCCAAAAAGCTGAGCAAAGTGAAAGAGGTTTGCCAACGTTTTTTTCTTACCTCCATGAAGGAGGTTATGTTTTCAATGCTGTTGCAGGATTACGCAAAAAACGATTTTCCTGAAACTTATCGGAGGACGGGTCAAGGAAGAGCACATTCATTTTTGGAGCAGATTTGATTACGGTGGCAGATCCAGGATCTTTAACTTTGTGAGATATGACGGTAGCCTTGGTGGAGGTACACATCTCTGAGGGCCTGCAGTGTTTTATGTGTCTATATTTTACAAGGACAATGCAGGCTAACTTTCATCTGCAGGTTAACGGTAGAAAACATCCAAATAACATATTGACACGTGCATAAAAACACATAAGAACACACACAGACACTAAAACATATATGAAAACATGGACTAGGCACAAAAGTCGTGCTGTATTCTCACATGGCCTCGCTGTGACGTTTTGTGGACATTTTATTTCGGGGCAGCAGGAAAAGCTACTGACTCAGACATTTGCGTTTTCCCCTCACAGCCTCTGGGGAAAATTTGAGGAAAATGTCCAGACTTCAGTGCCTGTCTGAAAGCAGCTGTAATGTTACATTTCCTTTTCCTTATGTGAAAGTCACATAACAGGACATCACACTCTCACAGATTCCTCCGTAACAACACAATCTTCCTCTTCAGTTTTTGAGATTCAAATTCCAAGACCTGCTCTTTGAATCAAGCTGATCTGGAAGTGTTCTAATTAAATTCACCTCAGATAATTTCTAAATGATCGTGGCTGCGGGGCCGAGACATGTGGCTCTCAAACAGACATTTTCAAACAAGCTTTAAAAAAAAAAATCAAAAAAACCTTATACTGAACATCTTGTGACTTGAAAACGGGGAAACCTCCCAGCACTCACTCACTCTAATTAATGATCCATACTCATAAGACTTTATCAGCGTGAGTCACTGTCATTTTTTGTTATTTGCCTTCGCTTGATGCGTTTGATCAAAAACTGAGACCCCTCTTCCATTTTCAATCTCCAGCAGCTGATAACTGGAGCTCGTCCAAGTCTTTCCTGCACGACAGAGCCCAAAATGCATTAAATGAAACCTATTTAGTATTTCCATCAAGAGAGCTCATCTACAGCTGGCAGGACCTATCACATCCCAGTTGTATTATTCATGATAGCACACAGCTCTCTTTCTCATGCGCTATTGCATCTCTCGGCCATCAAGTGATTACCACATGGTCAGTAATTTAAGTGAAGGCATCAAATTATAATAATTCCCTCTTGAGGACATCACTGCCCCTCGAGACTTTTCAATCCCTTCATTGTATTTTGCTTCGGAAATAAAAATGTAATTGATCGTCCGGCGACGTCTTCATCAACAGATTGTTCTTTTTTTTTCCTGATAATTCTTTTTGCCCCTGTGATTGGGATCATTTAAGCTCCTCTAGTGTCGGACATCTCCTGGTGGTGATAGCCTCCAGTTTATGTTCCCAGTGTGTCATTTTAATCAGTGATGGAATACTGCCATCTCCCTTCACGAGGTGAAACTACAGCTCTCACTCAACACTCAAATGGCCGTGTGAAATTTTCCAACGAATGCAGTTTTTTCTGATTATAGAGTTTATACAGTTCCTATATTGTGAACTTCAGATCTGGATTTAATTCTATGCAGTTTAGTTCGTGAATGAAAATTTTAATTGACAACACGCCCACTTCAGACGCCGTCTACAAACCAATCAGAGTCAAGTAAAGGTAGACGCAGCGCCACGTAGGTGATGACGACAGGACGTACGTATGTCAGACAAAATTGTTTAGACCCTAAATTACAATGTGAAACTAAAACAGATCAAATGAAACTATGAACCATGATCCAGACTTTTAGGTGTGAACGTGTCACCAGGGGATGGGGTTGGACTTTTCATTCCTTTGCTGGATGATGAACTGATAGTTTCCTTTTTTCAAACATTATTTTCTTCATTCTGTTTTCTCCAGGTGAGAGACCCTACAAATGTCCCCACTGTGACTATGCGGGTACCCAGTCGGGCTCTCTGAAGTACCACCTGCAGCGGCACCACAGGGAGCAACGCAACGCCTTGTCAGCCTCGTCCAACTCCTCCTCCGCCGGCCTCACCTCCACAATCAACAGTCTGACCTCTGGATCCTCTGGGCTGGCCAAGCAGCGCCGATCCCAAACCAACCACTGCCCCATCAACCGAGGCCCTTCAGACGCCCCCACCTCTCGGCTGAACCAACAGTCCTGGCTTCTGGGGCTTCCAGACCAGCGAGAGAACCGCAAGGCCTTGGCGGCTTTAAGGGATGTGGACTTGGAGACCCAGTACAGGTATCTGTCTGGGGTGATGGGAGCGCTTTACCAAGGTGGAATGGAAGGAAGCTGGATTAGAGAGTCTCCCCCACCAAAGGCCCCTAAAGTGTCCCGGCGTAAGCCCCTGACCACAAGCCGAATGGTCCAGCCTTCGAGCGACAAGGAAAGCCCTGCATCTTCAACTCAAGAGGGCGGGTTTGAACCTCTGGATCTGTCCCGTCGTCCCTCACCAGGGTTTGGAGGGATGGAGGATGATGGAGTCATGAGTGTAGGGGAAGGAGGGGTTGTCGATGGTGGTGATAATTCTTCAGGGGTCAAACTGAGCCAGTGTTTGTTCTGCCCATTCCGTACGTCCTCAGCAGAGCTCATGGCCATGCATCTCCAGGTCAACCACACCAGTAAGTCTCGGCGTAAAAGAGGCTCATCGACTACCTTAGAGTACGACGGAGCCTCAAAGTCCACCAAGCTCGGGGCGGATCTCTCCGAACTTGATTCCTTGGGGATATGGAGGCCTGAAAATGAGGCACCACTGGGGGAATGGTCCTCAACCCAGACCCTCAACGGGCTCTCAGAGGATCAAGCAGGACATGGGGGTCGTGTTTTCGACCATCCAGACTCCAAACTGGCCTCGGTATCCAAGAATGTAAGGGACAGTCTGGGGCTGAGGGAGAAGCTGGAGGAGGAGGATGAAGAGCAAGAGGAGGAACTGGAGGATAATTTGGAGAACAGCAGTGGAGAGGACTCGCAGGACCAGGATCTGAGGATGTCTCTCGCTCTGTCTCCGGCCCTGAGCTCCAACCACATGGTGGAAGACGAGGAAAGAGTCTGACGACTCCACTTAGATTGAGGTTTGGGTTTTTTGGTTTTCAACCACATTTGAAGAGAACCACAGGATGGAAGAGTCGGTGGGAAGCGTCGCAGAGAGAAAAGGTTTTAAGGTTAAATGAAGAATTGCCCCTTTATACTTTCATTTCTAGAGAGACGCGAAGAATCTGATATTTTGGAGGATTTCAAAAAGACGAGAGAGAAAAATCCCAGCTGTTAAATTCCCTCTCTTCAGATTTGAAAGTGTGTTTTACCTCAGTACAACGAACGTCCTGTTCAAACAGCACGGACGCATCTTTACAGGATTTTTTGGGCCACTTCTCGTTTTGTTTTCGGAGCTCCACTCTAAGACGGATGATTCTGAGATGATCTCCTCTTGGATAAATGAAATAAGTAAATCTCGGGGCAGAGCTTGCATCATTCCAGAGTGAATTGCGATGCATTTCTTTCACAATTGTAACGGACTGTAAATCCCACTTCACTTTCCTGACCAGGTTGGAGCTGACGGAAGAGACGCTCTCCTGACTCTGACCACTGAACAGTTTGAAGTTCCTCCTCCACCCACAACCACACGGAGGAACCGTTAGTCCGGACCAGTTTCAAGCTGTGAACAGCAGCGAAGCTATTTGGTTTTAATTTAAGGCGTGAGGTGTTGCAGGCCGTGTGTTTTCTCTCAACTGTGTATCACTGCCTTGTTTGTCTGAAAAGTGTTTTTAGATGATTGTCCTAAAAGAAAACCGCAAGAAAACATTTGTAATTTTTGTTTCTTTTTCAGTTAGTGCCTGTTCGCGTACTGTATGTTATTGAGAGAGCCTCTGGTGTTCCCGAGGCTCTGATAGGTTCATTCATTTTATCTGAATATACAGTTTAAAACGATTTAAGTACAGTATATTTGTTAAAAGTGGTTCTAGGTCGTTGTGAATAGTTAAGTTGTAAAAGAAACGCTAAGCGGCAGCGTGACGGCAGCTGTTAGTGGCTCAGCTGGAAAAGAAAAGAAAAAAAAGAGTTGGTGATATATACACAATGTTTAATGCGATGAAAGAGGTCGAAGCCTCGGCGGTGAAAAGGGTTCACGGTTCAAAATTCAGTGTTTACAATGATGTGGGTTGGGGTTGCCACGGCGACTCGGGGTCATCGCAGACGTGCAGGAAAGAACAAACCACAGAGCGGGAGTCTGACGGACGGACGTCGCTCGAGCCCACGAACACAATCAACCGACACGTTGTTTTAAAGAGACTGCGACTCGGCGACTGTGTCGAGAAAACAACGCCACGTTTTTTTGTTTTTTTTTTCCTCCATAGGAGAGAAGATACAAGGTAGAGAAAGAAAAAGAAAAGAAACAAACTCTACTCTCGGGGTATGGTGTCTCTTAGACGAGTAGATTCCCTCTCTTCTTCTTTTGTAAGAAAAGAAAAGACAATGGTAGGAGTAAATATTAAAACACTAACAAATGCATAGACATCCCAGTAGAATATGTGTAGCTTTTGTAAAGACGAGAAAAAAAAAAAGACGAGACTTGTGTTTATTTTCATTTCCAGATTCTTACAGAAAAAGGTTATCAATATAGGTAATATTGATTATAATGTTCGTGAGCTAAGACTAGTTGGAATGTCTATACAGAGCACTGTGCAAGGTTTGAGTTCCCAAAGTAGTTGTTTTTATTTTTGAATTTATGGAAATAGACCAAACATTTTTTTCTTTCCAATGGAAGTCGTCACTTTCTGTTGTCGTTTTTTTTTTTTTAAAACGTGTAAAGTTGTGGTTTCGTGAGATTTACCCCATCGATCAGCCAGAAGTCCGTTTATCAAACATCCGACCGCCCGACTGGCCGTTAAAGGAAGTTCAATATCAAAACGTAAAATTTTTTTTTTTGAGGAAACAAACACTACGATGGAGCATTGGGGCCAAACTGAAGAATTTATTTTCAGATTATGAGAATAAGGTTTAGTGTAACTGATAATAATAACTTTATTTTTGTAATATTAGTTCGTTTTATTAGTTTTAATTAATATTACAAATTAACCGTCATAATATTCTGACTTTATTCTCGTAATATGATTTTATACATTTTTTTCTCATAATACTTTATTTTCATAATATTGTGACTTCATTCTTGTAATATTACAAATTTATCCTCATAACATTTTGACTTTATTCTTGTGATATTAAGACTTAAATCTCACAATACAACTTTATCCTCACCATTCTTTGACTTCATATATATATATATAATATATATATGTGTAACATTACGACTTCAATCACATAGTATCACAACTTTATTCTTAAAATCTCAGATTATTTGCTCGCTGGCCCTAATACTCTGTTGTACTGACCCTGTACTGCAATACTTTGAACATCATCGATCTGTTACCATGCGGCTTGAAGGTGTATTTATGATGAATGTCAGGTGTAGTTTTCACAGGTAAACTTTATTTATCTACTTATTGATGGGGTATCCTTTGATTGCAACCACACCTTAATGTGCATTAATGTGTCTCAGTTGGTTTTTAGAGCACCTTATGAGTTTTTAGTGAAAGTCCCTTAGTGGTGTCTCCTGAACAACTACTGTCAATGCCACCGTGCCTTCTGTTTCAAGCACTTCCTGGTGTATTTTGTAAAACTCACCAAAAGCACTTAGCCCATCTCCACACACTCTCTCTCTCTCTCTCACTCTGTCTATCCTTCCTCTCTCCCTCTCTCCCTTCCTCATCACCTCTTTTATTCCATCCCTCGTTTTCCTCCCGACCCCTCCTGGTGTTTTCACGTTCCGGCCCGTTCGGCCTTAAACAAGGTCACTAGACCTTCAGTACAAACTAGCGTGGCTAGACTCTTGAAAGAAAGGACTACCTAACCTTCAGAGGAGTAAACAAGTCGTCGGTTCGACTTCTTTTGAACACTAACCCTCGGTAAACCAAAGCCCGAAGTCTAAGACTAATAAATATTTAATCTCGTGAGGTGCCAAAATATGTCCCAAGTGACACTAAAGTTGAGAAAACACAATAATTCACTTATCCTCTTTCATTTCTTCGACCCGTCCTCTCTCCCCCTCTCGCTCTCTCGCTTGCTCTTCCTCCATGTCCCTCTCTCGTCCGTTTACTGTCTCTCTCTAGCACCACTCGAAGGTGACGTGTACTATCTGGTATTGAGGCCTTTATTAGATTTTGATTTCAGTTCGTGTGGTGTTTGTTCGATGCCGTTGAGATGGAAAAATGCTCTTCTTCTTATGATGATGATAATTATTATTATTATGGTTTTGGCATTATGGTTAAAAAAAGAAAAGAGATAAAAAAAACAAGAGACATGTGTTGTTGAATGTTGTACAGATAGAAATAGAGATGTTGTGTTTTTTTTTTAAAGAGAGCACAAACCTGAGTGATGGTCCCTTCTGCTCCTCCCATAGGCAGATGGGAATAAAATAAAATGCCGATCGTTCTAATGTCTAATGACAAAAACTCTCTCAGTGGTGGATTTTCCAATGATATGTTTTTTATTATATCGCATTTCTCTTCGGAGACTTGAATGTAATAATTTGACCCAGAAATCCAGCCCCCCCCCACAAACTCCTGTGAAAGGCTGAAGCAGCACTCGACTGAAAGTTGAATTAAAGAGTAGGAACCCAGTTTTTAAGATTTTCTGTGTTGAACAGTGAGTTTAACTCATCTGAGCTCAACAAATATCTATAAAATCAATAGAAGCTTCTATTAAAACTGCTGAAATAGACTTTTGCACATTTCTTTTTAACTGAATGTGGCGCCGGTATGATTATTCAGATGTTTGAATACATTGCACCTTTTCTCCTGATTCTAAATCAGGTGGTTTTAACCAAAAGGATACGATTATTATTTAACGTGCGTATCGGACGAGTATTTATCGGTGACAATTCTGAAGACGTGACAAATCTCTGCGAGCTGAGGGGGCCACGCTGGGTTTGGGCTCTTGTGTAGTTGACTGCCATTGCAGTGAGGGAAAACTGATCTAACATAGTAGTGACTAATATGACTTTGTGGACAGATTAAAAAAAAAGAAATAAAAATGAAACACATTAGAAATAAATAAACACAAACAAAAATAAGCAAGTCTCTCTTTCTTATGTGTTCGTGCACGTGAAGTTTCACATGTGTCATAAATCACACGTCTTGTTTCTGCTGGTTTGTGATGCTGCAGCTCAACTGTGGTAGAAAAGCTTTACCGCCATCTTGTGGCTTCGAATGAAATTGCAGTAATGTGTGGAATGTGGAAGCACTTCCTTTGTTTAGTCACTGATGTTGTTCTGGTTGTAAAATGAAAAGAAATGGTGGATAACGATATTTGTTGTTTACATTAACTCTGCATGACAAAGAGTCAAAGTACACGTCGGAGAATCTTTTCTAAAAGATGGTTTCTGTCAGTTCAGGTAGTTCTTATCTTCAAGTGAACATGTTCGACAGGTGGGACTGACCATCGGCGAGTATCAGCGGGACGTCGGTACCGTGGCTCCATCCTCCGATCGCTACAGCGCAGACTCGTTCACGTCCAGCTTGATTTCCAGCGAGGCGTCGTCCATCTTTGTTCGGGACATTCTACCTGCACGTAAGAAATTCAGTTCGATGAGCTGATCGATCACGATTTAGATTTGCATTATGGTATTTTCTTGTTTGACTCTCGCCCCTCGCTTCTCCTGATGATCGTCCAAACAGCTTTGTGTTCTCTGGAGAGTTGAAATCTTCTGGTTAACTCATTAAAAACTAGAATGACGCTCAGTAGAGCTCGTTCTTCCCTCAAGGCCCCAAAGTCCCCTTTTATAAACCACGTTTAAATTGACCAGATTTTTTATTAGGCTCTGTCCCAAATTTGCACAAACTCAATAAATAAATATCCAGGATCAACTCAGGTAGCTCAGGTTCTCATCCTCCCAGCAAGTGCACTTATAATCTGTCCAGTGGTTTGTGTGCAATCTTGCTTATGAACAAACAAACCTACAAACAAATGGACAGGGCTGAAATACAACCTCCGAGGTAAAAAAGCAAATATTCAGAGTCAAATATACACGTTTACAGTACATCTAATTTTGTGCAGTAGAAATATATTTGGCCCTTTGTGGAGGTCCCGTCCCTGAGATTTGGATCCACTCTGCACAGTTAATGTTTAAAAGTATAAAAACTAGAAAAACCTGGAGGCAAAGTTTCTGAAAATGCGTTGGCACATTCAAAAGGTACAAGTACTTTGCTAAATACTCCGAGAACAACGTTCCCCGCTCCATCGAGAACTGTCAAATGGAACAAATAATACTTTGTTTAAACATCTTCTTTAAACATGACTCCTTCCAAACCAAACAAGGAGCCAGTCCAGATGTTGAGGGGTCAGAACCAGCTGCTGTCAGACAGGGGCTCTGACTCGTGGAGCCCCCCCCGACCTCCGGGGGCCCCTGGCTTCACGTCTGTTGAGTTTATGTCATCATCAACCTAACCAGCAGAAATGTTGTGGTCTGGGAAGAGCTCGGTCGTCTCCAGGCGTCGGCTAATTAACGATCATGTGATTATCTGAACCTGGAGACGGTTTACTGCAGCTCTGAGATCCCGACCCAGGAGCTGACAGTGAACACAGCGCGAGGACATTTTAATTACGTCAATCAACCAGAGTTACACGACAGGTTTTTATATAGACGACCATGTCTGATGTGAAGGGCCTGATTTCTCCTCCATGAATATGCCATTGAAACTGTACCAGCAGTAATATTATAA